TGCCTGATTGTGTGTGGCATTATGTGGCCCAGAAGAGACTGTTAATATTTTTTCAATGAAGTCTACAAGGAGATGAGAGGAATTCTTTTCTGTACTGGAGAATATGTAAACAGCACTCAGAGAGGTAGACTGACTTGCCTGAAATCAGTGTACAGTGTTAGAACCAGGAAGCTCGTAGATCTTCCACTCTTCACAGCTGGCAAAAGTCCGCGCTCTAGAGAGTTTATTTCCTTAGGTTCCATGCCCCACATTCTCTCTCTCCACTTTCGGACACCATTCACTTCTAGTAAGCCTGTTTTACTGGCTTTCCAGGCCAACAAACAGAACTCTTGTTACGGTCTGTTACCATTTGTAAAAGCCAAGGTTTTTCCACACTGGTACAATTTGTGGTGGGGACAAGGTGCAGGGGCCATTCTTTGTTGTGAGGGACTGTCCTGTGCATAGTTAAGGTGTTTATCAATCTCTCCAGCCTTTACTCATTAGATGCCAGTAACACCTCTTCCCCTAGTTGTGAGGAAAAAATGTCTCTAGACATTGTCAAATATCTTCTAGAGGGCAAAAGTATCCTTTGTTGAGAACCACTGCTACAATCCACCTCATTTACTGCTACAACCCAATACATTCACTATATCAAGCTCACCTATAGAGGATGGGAATTGGGAAGAAAAAGGGAAGCCTAGTCTTTGTATATTCTGACTTGTTCAGGCTTCCTTAGAATCGGAGGTTTCCCAGCAATTCATTCAGAAGTTCACTGTGTTTTCATTCCTTCCCCAGGTAGGATTGCCAGTGCACAATCAGTCCCAGAGTTCTTTGGAACTTAACAATACTAGGAGCTCAGGGGGATTTTACTTAGTGGTCATTTGCAGGCCATAAAGACTGCTGTCTCCATGATTTCAAGCAAGAGGTGTGTAAATCAAAAGGGATCTAATAAAATCTATGTAGTCAGACAGTAATTATGAAACAAATGGGAACTCATATAGGAGTAGATTGTAAAGGTATCAGGAAGTTTTCTGTGTTGCATCATAAACTTGCTCTGCACTAATATCAATGACTTCAACCTAGAAAAGGAATTATTTTTCTTGGATTAGGTCTTTGCCACTGAGCTAGTATAACCATGATCTACAGCCCTAGAACCAGTCACATTTAACCCTGGAACACTACACAAGGGTTACAGTAAAGTACATGCATTCTGGAATATTCCAATGGGAGGATTTATCCACTAAATCTGAACACTATGTTTCAAATTCTTTACTCATTTATTTTCTACCTCAATAAACATGCTACCTATTTTGAGATCTGTTGTACAGAGCCAATAGAAGTTCTCATTGTCAATTTTTACCATTATTTTTCTCATTCACATGCAATATTTCCTCTCTAATAAAAATTACATCCCATATAATGGGTATAATTGCACATATCTTTTTTGTTTGTATTTTAAATATTACTGTACAAGATATAAGGCTGTAAAAGATGTCAAAACATAATCATGTTCTGCAGAAAATAGGATTTGTTGTATGCTTGAGAGAGCAGCAGATAGAGCCTTCAATTGCTTACTGCAGATCTGCCATTTCTAATAATAATAAAATTGTAGAGGATGGTGTCATTGTGAAACTACAGAAAATGCTTCAGGATGGGCCGATTATCATTCAGCTCTAATGCTACCGCTGAATCATCACAGGGAAAATCATCACAACCATTAATAACCGATAAATGTCATAGATGGTGGGGAAAATATTTAAAGATTCAATGGTTTCAACCTAAGTGGCTCATGAATTATACATTTAATTAAGAAAAGCCAAATGGGAAGGTTTTTAAACTTCCAATTTGGAGGTATTTTTTTTTCTTTCCCCATTAAAAAATATACAAATTAAGCACAGCAGTGGTTGATGCTGGAACAAAATAGATAAAAAGCCCCTACTGCAGGCTGGCTGTTTGGATGAACAGGAAATGACAGGGGAGAAGGGAGCAGGGCATGGTGGGGGACGCACTGACAGGAGGGGCCTGCAGCTGAACGTCTTCACCGGCGCAGAGGTCTAGATCATTTTCCTGAGCTGCTGCTCACTCGCTTCCGCTCTGCTTCTTCACTCTTCAGATGCAAAGGTTGTGCTGGCAAATCTCACAAATCCCAACCATCCCGGACATTCCGTGTTTGCATGAACTGAGAAACATCCTCTTCTCCAACACACCACCCAAAGGCAATTATACAAGGTGGCCACCATTCGCAACCTCGATATTTCCCTTTCTAGTATGAATATACAGAG